AGCAGAACAACTAGTACGATATAGACCACGACAGCTCAAAGAGCAGTCACACTTTGCCTTTTACCTACAAATACACTAGGCCACAACTACCAGGAGCTTCGCCAGCTCCCCATTGTTTTTCAGTTTCAATACACCACAGATATCTTTTTTAGCTCGCTAAATATCGTTCCCTCAATATAATTAACTATGAATCGAATGTACTTCGCCGATAATCAGCAAAAGCAGAAGGCTTTTGATCGATGTTATGGTCAGATGGCTACGAGCCATTTCAAGCAAGGACGTAAGCTCAGAGCTCTGATTAACCAGGAGGCGGCCGAGGAAGCACTGACTGAACAAATGGCAAAGCTATATGTATCAAGTAATGCTAAGCAGCATGAATATGACTACGATGAAGTCTCTAAGAAACTGAGAGGAAAGGTTGATAAGCCTGTTGATCACAGCAAAGGGCCCAAGTGATCAAAGTTCTCTCAGAAAATGAAATTCAAGGCTAATGGCGAGTCTTACAGTGCCCCTGCTGATGATTTACCATTCAAACACGACTACGCGAATCGAGAAGGATATGAATACTTCAAGTCGAAATTTGACCTCCTTACCATGTTTGACTCCAAGCGTAAGAAGGACTTTAAGTTGATTTGCAGCTCACACGCACGAAACAGCATAGCAAACGACAATCGTTGTACACATTAGCTTAACTAGAGCGCAGATATCGGGGTTTACAAACATGACAACTCGGCTTTTTAAGCCAAGAAATCAACGTATCCATGAACAGCAGTAGGCTGCATTTGTGCAGCTTGCTAGAAACTAAACCTTTGAACGTCCAAGTGACCATTGTTTTTGGCATGCTCGTTCTTCATTGCGAACACCAGGCCAAGTTCGAATCACCCAGCACATGTTGGGGCTAACTCTATGAACTAAACGATTCGCGTGCTGCGCTTGACTGCCGATACCGAGTAATGCGTCGTCTAGCTCCTGGACAACTGTCTTCCTCAAACCAACTAGCAAAGCCATTCAGTGGGTCATCAGATTGCCTTAGCACCGCTTCAGATCGATATCGAGGACGACGCAGCATGGAAAAACGTGTTTGCCGACGAGGTGCTGAGCTTTCAGCATCACTTGAAGACGCTGTTGGAGAATCTCCAATTGATACAGCCCTTGGTCTGGACGATTGTCGACGAGCAGTAGCGGATCTCTTTGACTCCGACGTCCCTGATGTCTTGGCTGAGTGCTCAAATCGTCACTACCTCGTCGACTTCTGCGACCAAGTCCTGCAGGTACATCAATTTGCTCAGTACTGGTAACAGCATCATCGATACATGCTGGCTCGTTGTGGGATACATTGGCGAGCGAGGAGCTCTCGGAACGATGAAGCTGTACAAGAATCGACATGTCTTGGTTCGGATGGAAGTGCACCTCAGTCTCGCGGCAGCTTGGACAAATTGGGTTTTGTTCAAATGACCGCATCAAAGCTCGCGAAGAAAACGTTTTGCTGCAGCACGCGGTGACAACACGATCGACCAACAGGTCACTCGAGATCGGGCACGTCAGAACTGCCTCACGACAACTTCGGTTCTCCATAATAACTTCTTGTTGAGCTGCTACAGCATCGCTCGCTTGTTCCAGCAGCTGTGCTCGCTCTTGCTCGAATTCACGAAGTTGCTCATTTAGACGCTCACTTAGAACTTGATCTGTATACTCACCAGCGTTCGTACTAGCCATGGGTGCCTGGACTTCGGTCCCAATCTGCAGCGCTTCATCACTTGACTCTAGTTGGTCACCCAAATGCGCTCGCTCGTCTTCAAGCAGCACATTCTCATCCTCAGAGCGCATTTCCAGCAGCTCAATACTCGTTTGAAGTCGCTCGTTCGTCTTCTGCTGTTCAATTAAGCGAGACGTAGATTCCGAAAGAGCTGCCTGCAGTTCACGGATCTGCTGCTCTTGCTTCTGGATATGCTTTTTCAGCGCTTGTTCGCGTTTATCTTGTACGGCTTTACTGTCAATTTCGAGCTGCAACTGGTCTGCACGCTGCCGTTGCTCACGAATCTGCTGCACTTGTCGTTTGATAAGCTCTCTCAACGCTTGTTCCCGTTGATTTTGCACAGTGCTACTGCCGATTTCGAGCTGCAACTTGTCTGCACGCTGGCGTTGTGCTCGATACGCACTCAGCGTTTCATTTAGTTGTTGATTTAGGTAGTTCGTTGTCTGTTCTTTCAGCTGGAGCGTCTTTTTCAGATCGGCAACTTGCTGCATGAGCTGGAATTGGGTCTTCACGGACGACTCACACTCACTTCGGAGATGCTGTTCCAGATCTTTGACCTGCTGCTCAAGGAAATAAACTCGCCGGTCATGCTCAAGTTGCAACGACATGGAAATTCAAGTACAGCTTCTCTTTGATTCGATCGCGTTTTGAAAAATGAAAGGCATCGAACTGTTTGCTTTGGATGCCGCGTCCCATCGTGGAGTGATTGTGCACAGTGAAATGGACTAAAAGCAACCGTAGCGTGACAATACGTAGCTTGTCTCCATGATCGGCAGTATTTGACTCTTTCACAACTGGGCACGATTTTGGTCTGAAGAAGTCCGAAAGGTACGAACCTTCAATGAAAATACGACTTGAAATCACAAACAATTGTTGTTAAGTCAAGCATATACTATTAAACGCTCAGAGTACCAGTTTGCTGGCATTACGCCGCAACTAGTAGTCCGAGTCTGAACCGTAATATTCCATGTGAGCCGATGGGTAAAAGTTAAACTCGTCGTCTGTAGGTGCGCGGCCGTAGCGTGTAGGATTGCTTGATTGTGCTAACGATCTCTGCTGGTAGTACGAATCGAGAGTAGAATACCTCGGGTTCGAGTAGGCGTCAGCAGTTGACCCGTAAGCCTGAGTCGTAGCATTGCCAGTAGCACCACTTCCAGTCGTTGACGACAGAGGCGCAA